GACTGACTGACAACAACACACTATTGTATAGTGGTGCGAGTGGTTAAAAAAGGTGACTCCTCCAGGCGACCTTCGGCCCCATTTCGAGGAAGATAATATAACTTCCAAGAAGAAATAATTAAACAGTTGTATAAACTGTAAACAACAATCTGTTTGGATGGATATTATAAAAAATATTGACCTGGTGGATATTATAAAAAATACTGACCTGGTAGATATTATAAAAAAAGATTCACCTGGTGGATACTTTAAAAAATATTGACCTGGCTCATATTTATATTCATGGACTACTGATACAATAGTTAAAATGACAAATGTCCAGAAAGAAATACAACCGACTTGGATAGTCCCTAGTTTGTGAATGATTATTAGATAATTGGAGACTTCACGATAATTAACAATAACATAATACCAAATATTAGATTCATTTCCACCATAGTCTCACTGGAGAATTTGTCAGTAACTTTTTAGGAAAATGGTTTGATCTGTTCGTCAATAGAAAATGTTACTGCATATAATTTCTTTTTAAGTAGATCAACAATTCGGAATTACTTAAATTGTGGGTATTTCTACTTGATCTTCAAGATGGCGGATTTGTTCTCGCAGCCTTCTAGCATTAAGCTGTGTGTTAAATATTTACGAAAGGCAGAATAGTGCAAATCTTGATCAATTCATGCTTATAAACAAAAGACAAACAAACCACAGTTGAGCTGAGTTTTAAAGCTTATGACTTATGCTATTTATCCATACCTGAAAGTTGAAATTTAGAAGAAAGATAATTCATTATTATTTACACTTTTCAAATAATTAACAACATTTGTGTAGGTTGTTTATACTTTGAGTTACTTTTTACTCTGAATTTATGCCTCAAACAGGTTTTACTGAATTTAATTGTTATTATTGTAGAAAACTTAGCGATTAAACAACTTTACCAATATATTTAGTACCATATATTCGATAAAACCATTCTATTGTGTGATAGGTGATATCATGACTGAAAAACAGAATCTTACAATATAACTTTCATTCAGTATGTAAGAACGAAATGTAACATTATTATCTTCTAATCTCGTATATTGTACTAAATGATATTATTATTATTAATAAAAGTTAATATTTCGCGCAAACAAGTTAAAACATAAAATTTAAATGACTGACAGGAAAGTCCTTACCGAGAGAGTTCATGTATTGTTTTACAGTTAATTATTTTAAACATTCTGTGCTGATTTTGTTTTCAGTTTGAGCAATAAATAGTTCGAAACATATTATATCAATTCTTCATCATTTCTACGATTAAATAATTACAAATACATGAGGGTAAGAAATTGGGTTCACAGTAAAATTTACTTCAAACAGACTTCTCCTTACCTTGATCGAGGTCATTTTGCCAAAGACCTACAGATACAGGCTGACCATCTTCTCTCTTCCACGTAATCTCGGGGACAGGATAGCCTTTAGCGCGACATTTCATCGTGACATTTGATCCTTCACGTGCCAGAACGTCAGTGTCACTCTCGGCGTCAATGATAACCGGTGGTACTAGAGAGAGAGAGAAAGAGAGAAAAAAAGGAAGACTAAAAAAGTAAGGATATGGTGTTTCCGACGCATACTAGGTGCTGCGCTGAATAAGTAAGAAGGCGGAGATGCAATCACTCCAGACCGAAGCTTATCGTTAGTACTTCGGACATCGTTAAGGCGGGACCCAAAGGAGACTTTTAAAATTCTTGATCTTGTTTAGTCTCATCACCAGTGCCACGTTTCGCCGACTAGAGCCTTAAATCTCTTTAGAATGCCGGTACGACTTTGTGCAGATTGCATTTATACACGTGTAATCTTGGAAGCGAGCATCTATTTACATCGTTCTCGAAATTCTCTAAAGTAAAATGGATTGAATCGTTGAAATTGAAATTTTCGACTATTTGTAAAATCCCCTTCGTTGGTTTTCAGGAAAGTTTGTAGATATGCATTCCGATATTTGCTTTGTTTTTATTGACAGAAGACTTAGTACGCATTATTGTTTCAAGTTAGACAATATTAATAAAAGGCTTTAAACGAGCAAAAATCCATCGAAATCTAACCAATACACAGAATTACATTATCATTGAGAAAAAAAACGTTATAATATAAAAATACATTTCCAACTACCAAAAGAACAACATACATTCTGATAATGATGCAATAAGACAAAGTTTGTTTTGTTTGGAAGTTCGCCCAAAGCTACACGAGGGCTACCTGCGTTAGCCGTCCTTAATTTAACAGTGTAAAACAAGAGGAAATGCAGCTAGTCATCATCACCACCCACCGCCAAATCTTGAGCTACTCTTTTACCAACGAATAGTGGGATTGGCCGTCACATTATAACGCCTTCACGGCTGAAAGAGCGAGCATATTTGGTGGGACGGGGATTCGAACCCGCGACCCGTAGATTGCGAGTCGAGCCCTCTAACCACCTGGCCATGCTAGACCACAATAAGACAAAAGGCCCGCATAAAATAAATTTAAATATAACGGTATAGGTGACGGGAGAAATCTAGAACCTTCAGTTTTACGGTTAACGTACACGTATTAAAACAAACGAGAAACACATTTATAAAAAAGGGTATAAGAATATCATAAATGTCGTTGCAAATTAACCTTGAAATCGTGTTTTCTTATCCAGTCACATTGGTGTTTAAAATATCAGTTTGATGTCTAAGCTTATTCATCTATCAGTAGGATCGTCACAGCTATCCAATGTTATTACTTCAACAAAACATCATATTTGACATTACGCGATTCACGTCCCTGAAAATACGTTTCGTGCTACTTGTCTGTCATGTTATAACCTCGTCTGAAGTTTGTTGTTGAAATGGACGGAGGGCATGCCGAGCATTTGACGTGACTGGCATTAATACTACTGTTTCTTCAGATGAAATAAAATTTATTGTGTTCTGAGGTCACTTTGAGGTCCCACGTACCGCTGCTTTTCATAAATGTTTTCTGCATATGTTTTTATACAATTGTAACACATGGCACCAGTTCTTTATACAATTGTAACACATGGCACCAGTCCTGTATATCTCAATAAAATTGCATTACAAAAAATCAAGAATTAAGTATTTCTCTAACATTAAAGTTTTTGTGCACTTTTATATCATATTCATAAAGAAATAAGGTTTAGGTTAACCTCACAAATAAAGTTTTCACAAAATTAATTTAAAGCGAGATGGATAACCTCCCATTTTAATCATCATTCTTAATCAAATACATGCAATCCCTTTAACCGGTTCTAAAACGTACATCAGGTATTCGTGTTTAACATTGTCACATAAATCTGGAAGATAAATAGTTCCTCCAGATAGCTCATTGTCACCGAATAATAAATTAGGTACTGTTTCTTTTCCTAAGTCCCCTTGCAAGGTGGGAAGTAGAAAGCGTCATATCTTAACCAATAACCGCCTGTCAGTCTAGATGTAAAACTTATATCGCCATGAAACTATTGTAATACGTAAAATAATTAACTTCCCGCTAATACATTACCATGAAAAATACTTAACTTCCCGCTAATACATTACCATGAAAAATACTTAACTCTCCGCTAATGTATTACCATGAAACTATTGTAATGCAAAAATACTTAACTCCTCGCTAATATATTACCACGAAACTATTGTAATACAAAAGTAATTAATTCCCCGCTAATACATTACCATGAAACTACTGTACTACAAAAATACTTAACTCTCCGTTAATGTATTACCATGAAACTATTGTAATGCAAAAATACTTAACTCTCCGCTAATGTATTACCATGAAACTAGTGTAATGCAAAAATACTTAACTCTCCGTTAATACATCACCATAAAACTATTGTAATGCAAAAAACCATGAAACTATTGTAATGCAAAAATACTTAACTCCCCGCTAATATATTACCATGAAACTATTGTAATGCAAAAATACTTAACACCCACTAATATATTACCATTAAACTATTGTAATACAAAAATAATTAACTCCCCGCTAATACATCACCATGAAACTATTGTAATAAAAAAATACTTAACTCCCCGTTAATACATCACCATGAAACTATTGTAATACAAAAATACTTAACTCCTCGTTAATACATCACCGTAAAACTATTGTAATGCACAAATACTCTCCGCTAATGTATTACCATGAAACTATTGTAATGCAAAAATACTTAACTCTCCGCTAATGTATTACCATGAAACTATTGTAATACAAAAATACTTAACTCCTCGCTAATATATCACCATTTTATATGGCTACAGATGAATCACATAAGTCACCTCAGTGAGAGTCGTTCGCCATTCTGTTTCTAGATGAATGTTCAAATATATAAGAAAACTTAACGGCTTGGACCTGTAAACGATGCAGAAGAGAGTTAAAGTATTTCTACGTCTCTTGAAAAGTTTGTTATTATTGACATTTATTTTCAGGATAAGAATTATGTTCGTAGGGTTACTTAGCGATACCTTTGTGGACATTGTATAGCTTAGAAAATACTGCATATTTCTCTAAGCAAAAAAAAAAAAAAAAAAAAAGGGGAATGCACTTTAATAATATTTTTTCACGTGAGTTTTTTTTTTTTTTTTTTTGC